GCGCTTGTACATCCTTGGTATGCTGGAACCTCCCCACGACCAGCAGCATGAGCCGCAGCCCCGCCGCGGCCAAGGACGCGGCGTCCGAGCTGGCCGCGTTCACGGCGATGCCCACCAGAAGATCCAGGTGGTTAATGAACTTCCTGTCTGCGGGCAGGTCGCTCCCACTGTCCGGTTGGAAGTGAACTGGGTCCCTCTGTGGCACTTGCTCCAGCAACAGCTGGACACAGGACACAGCAAAGACCTTCGTGGTGGTACAACTTGAGAGCTTCTGCTTGCTCTGCTCCTGCTTCTGCTCTGCAAATGATGCTTCGTCATCCACTTCATCGGCCATGCGGTCTTCACTGCCCTTCCGCGTGGAGGACTTCTCCTCGGGGCCACCTTTGGAAGGCAATGCCAGCACCACTTGTCGCAGAGCTTGCAGCCAACTGGGCAGCTGACTGAGGCCATTCGCGTGAAGCAAGGCCAAGATCAGCTCCTGCAAAGCTTCAGCCTCTGCTCCCTTTGAAGCATCAAGTAGCTGAAAGAGTTTGGTCCTGTCAGCGAATAGCCTTGTCACATCAGAGCCCGCAGTTGCAAGTTGCCAAAGACATTGTGCAGCATAGGTGCGAACAGCGCAAACTTGAGCCTCACCCCCTTCCGGGCCGCACAGCTTTTTGGCTGGCAATGTGAGCAGCGCCTCGGCGGGAAGCAGCCTCCCAAGGAATGGCACTGTGCCTTAAATGCTGCGTTGTCAGGGTCATGGATGTTGGATGTTGTATGATTTTGTGCACAATGATGCAAAACGTTTGGGTCTCCTACACCAAGGCCAACGGACCCAATCAAACCGTTCATGTTCCCTTTTCTTGAAGGCAAGGTGCGCAAGCAAACCACCTCCGCACGAACCATAGCGAAGGTATTTCCAGTTGGTTGCCCATGATCAATGTGCTGCAACACCTTCCATATGCCCGACAACAAATGATCTTCTCGTCCATCAGACTCCTCACTGGTCGAAAGCACAACGGCAGCTGAACGAGTCAGCTCTGACACCACCCAAAAGATCAAAGGTGCCTCAAAGAAGTCTGCTAGAAGATGAGCTGTAGCCAGCCGCAAGGTCTCCTTCATGAAGGGTGAGAAAGCATGGCCCGCAGCCTCCATGCTGATGTGCAGGGCATAGAGCATCCACAAGCGGACCGGCTGGGCTGTTTCCTTTGCCAACTTGAGGAGGCTCGGCACGATGTTCATGATGTAAGGGCAATGAAAACCAGAAGAGTCACCTCCTTGAATCTTCCATCCCCACGAAAAGGCACGGAGAATGCTACCACACAGCAGCGCCAAGGCCGAGCGTTCCCTCAACCAGCTCTCCTTCGCCTCTGCTTTGGGTTCAGTGTGTTCAGTCGTGATCACCTGGAGGATCTTGGGGACTACAGGTGAGCTGGGGAGCTGGTGGTGCCCGAAGAAGAGAGCCGCCAAAATCTCACAATAGAGCCGCCGGAAAGCTGGATTGCTTTCCTTAAGCCCTGCCAGGGCCAAGTGCATGGCCTGCTCTGCAGCCTGTGCGGGTGGGGCGGCGCGCAAGCCCCGCATCCTATGGTGTTCCCGGAGGTAAGACAAAATGGCCACTGAGGCCATAGCATGTACTTCTACACCACTTCCCACACTCTCATCAGCCTCTTTCCTCTTCAACAAGTGCTGCAGCACCACGGTGCGGGGAGCCTCGCCCACCTCAGGAGCATTGAGGATGATGGACAAAAGCTTTACGGAGCTGCACCTCCAGTCCCATTCGGCCGACATACACTGCCCGGCCAAAGGCTGAGTGGAGTCACACCAGGCATCCCAAGGCATCAACATGCAGTCGGTCCCGCCAGGACTCTCCCGATGAAGGAAACTGAAAATGCAGGCAGCCCCAGCATCAGCACCCAAGTCCTCCTCGAAAGGAGCTCCATCTTTGCCTTTCTCCTGAGCTGACAGCAACTTCTTCACAGCCAAGCGGGTCGAGGAGGCACAGTTGGGGCTAGTCTCCATGTGTCCATCGACCAGATCCAAGACCACATCCGTCTGGTTGCCCACCAACTCCGAGATCAGCTCCGTGATGGGGAACTCATTTGGCAAGGGCCTGGTGATATCATCGGCAAGCATGTTCAGAAGTGGTACAAAACGAGAGGAATAGAGTGAAGGTTGCATCGCAGCAAAGGTTCGGTACATAGTGGCACGAATCATCAAAAGAATTTCAGGAATGCCACATTGCCCGGACATGTTGATGATTGGTCGAACAGCACCCGGCTGAAAGGCATCCTGGCGATACTTGGCTCGGAAGCTGTTGGAGGTGGGGTGCGGCAAGGCCACGACGAGCTGCGAGATGTTGGTCAGAAAGACCACCAGAATTTTGTGAAGATGAGGCAAGGTAGTGAGGAGAGTGTCTTTGGAATGCCACGTGAAGGCGTACAACGAACGCAGGGCAAAGAGTAAGGAGAGAAGCTCATCTCGACACACGTTTGCACTCATGTCAGCATTTGAGGCACTACTCTTGGAGGAAGTCGATGCAACATGCTCCTGGTAGATTACCTTGGCACGGTCCACCGGCTTTTTCCCCAAAGCCGTCTTCCACAATGCAAACAACGTCGTCAGACGCTGCCCAACCCAATCAGAGCCCAAGCACATCAAGCCCTCCAGCAATAGGAAAGCACAACAACGTCTCTGTGCGCTGATAGCCGGGGATGGATGTGCTTGCAAAAGAGCACCTGATCTCAGTCCAAACACTACGCCGGCGAACCGGATGGTCATATCAAATGCACTTGAAAAGGTCAAAACGGTCCGAAAAACTTGCTTTTGTTTGTTTGTGTTGATTTATAGCTTCAGTCAGTTTCTGGTCACACGACTCTTCTTCCAGGTGTGAGGTTATCCCTTGTTTCCTGGGTCGGGATTTGTCCCACTCCGGTGTTTGTAACTGTCACACTCACCCAATCTCCCGTTTGGACAGGCTCACCTGAAGTGCCCAGCACCGCAGACAGCACATCATGGGGTACTCCCAGCTCGCTGCTGTACAACTCGCTGCTCATGGCCGCCAACGCAGCGCAGTAGCCAAAGAGCCCCCGCACCAGTGGCTGTAAATCTGCATGTGCAGCCGCCGCCGCCACGGCCGTATCACCTGCCACCATCTGTCCATTGGCATCTTTTCGGCGCAAGGGCGTGCCTAAGACTTCGGCATTCTGGACAGTGGACAGGTTCAGCAACACACTCAGCAATTGGAAGAGCTGCGGCGGCGAGCCATGACCTACACATCTGAGGCAATAGGCAGCATGCAACTGGATGGTTGCATTGGGATAGTTCCCCACGATGTGAAGCAAGGGCTTCGTCACCTTTGTCTCAATTCTCCGAAAAGCTTCTCCAGAAGCCACGCATGCACTGCACAAGGTCTCCAACACCACCAGCATGCGCATGTCCGTACTGCGGGACGTCTCATGAAATTGTGCCGATGCCATGGGAAGAAGTCCTTGTTCTACGAAGTCGTTCAAACATCCCTCTGTCTGGGCCAAGCGTAAGAGCCTTTGCAAAGCCAAGCTGATCTGCCGAGTGACTTGCAGGAGCTGCTCCTCGTCAACCAGAGGCGCTCGACCCTTGGCACTGCTAGGCACATCCAATGAATTCAGCAACGCACGTACCACTAAAGATAGGGTGACTGCATCACTCACTCCCTGTGCCTCCGCCAACAACACGGCAGAAAGACAAACAGAGGACCTGAAGGGCGCGAAGGCTGGGCCGCTGTTGGGGCCCTTGACAATGGCCTGCTCTAGAAAGTCCACCGCAGAGGCAAAGTCGGTGACCACGGGTTTCTTCTTCGGCCGATCGGGTGCCGCGGCCGCGGCCGGCGAGGCCATCGCCGCCAGCACGCGCGCCAAGGCGGTGGTGAAAGCGAAGCGATTCTCCGAACAGGTCGAGGTGAGTTGACCCATGGGATCTTCAGTGGCCAACACCTTCAAACAGGTCAGAGCCATGGCTTCGCCATTGGCGCCGGCACACATGGGGCATGAAGTGGCCAGAAGTGACAAAGCATTGGCCGCAACCGTGCGAACAACCAGCACCTTGTCGACTGTCACCTTTTGAAGCATCTTCCAAATGTTTCCAGCTGTGCTTAGCTGCCGAACTCCTACAGACTTCATGATCCTGCACAGGTTTTGCAATGCAGAGCTTCTGGTACTAGCCGCACTCGCCTCGCTCATTTTGATGTGCTTGGCGACCAGGGCGAAAAGGTCATTGCAGAAAGGCTCCAGAGGAGCACCATGATGAACAACAAGTTGCCCCAGCACATCCAGTGCTGCCACCTTGGTGTCAGTCACCTTCTTCGAACTATCCCCCAGCTGCAGGAGTCGGCTCACAAAGTTGGGCAACACAGATGAGTCGCTCAACTTAAAAATAATGTTTAACACGGACACCACCAGAAGCCGTAAAGTCTCAGTGGCATTTTGCGTCAGAAGCTTCTCACACAAGTCCTCAAATCGTGCACGATATTCGGAAACTTCAGCTTTGGAGGCGGAAGGGAGCAACTCTTCCATCTGAGCCAAGGCTTCCAATTTTCGTGCATTGGTGATTGAACCATTCTCTGCTCCAGCAACAGCCGACTCCAAGATTTTCAGGCAATCACCGAAGCTTTTCGTTGAGGATGTCATTGTGGTATGGCGGCCATGCGTTTCATCTACTTTCAAGTCTCTAAGTGAGTGCTTGTGGCGCTTGTGATGTGTACGCTTCTCCTCACATGGGTGTTATGATGCTTTATGATGTGTACAAATGTGTACTGTCTGTATATATGCAGTTGGTGTCGACATCTGAAGGAATGCGTGTGCGAGTGAGGGCTGGCAAAAGTACTCAGCACCCTGCTTCACAATGTGGACAATTCCAAACATCTGCGGTCTGCGGACGAAGCAGCTGCGGCACATCAAGACCAGCGCTTGATGCAGAGCGGAGCAACACAACAACAGAACTCGTGTGTCTATTCGGCTCCCTTCGAACCACCCTCGTCCAACCTTGTGCTCTGGTTGCTCTGCCTGCCCACAAACTGGTCCAGTTTTGATGCCGTTTTGTGATGCTTTGGCTGCAAAAAGGTGCCTTCCGTTTGGTCCAAAGGTCGCCTGGAAGGGTCACCAATTTGGCCTCCTCCTTGGAGGGACGGTACAAGTGGCACCGACCTGGCGAAGGGATGACTGGGCGACCTGGCACACACCGGGCCTCCGTTTCGGCCGCCGTTTCGGCCTCCACCGACTCAGGGCACCGCAGGCGGCCGCTTTTCCCGTTTTTGGCTCATGGCTTCTCTTGAGAGAAGTCATTCGGTGTGAAGCAAGTGCAAGTTTTCTTGCTCTTTTCATTGACTAATCCGGACTGGCCTGTTGGGACACCCCGACCCAGCGCGAAGAGAGCAACAGGTAGGAGCCCTTCCGAGGCCCGCAAAAGCACAAGTAGTGGTCACCTGATTGCCCCTTAAAGGGCTACAAAGAAACGATGTGTTCTTTCGGGCCTGGCTGCGAGTAGAAGAAGCGCCTTGCATCTCAAAAATTCACTCTTTTCCCCTCTCTCTCTCTCTCTCTCTTTCTCTGTGCTTCTGGTGGAGCTCTGGGCCCAAGGCGGCTGAGTGAGGAGTTGAAATTGGCTGCCCCGGCAAATGCTTGGCCTGTGTGAAAAAAACCAACAACAAACCCTAGGTGCTTTGCACAGGTGTGCATATGTTTGAACACCGTGCCGACACCCTTCGGAGCTTCTGCCTTCCAGAAGGATCGAAAAGAGCTGGCAAGGATCCTGACAAATCAGCTGCTGCTTAGCACTCAGCGAGCTCAGCGGGCTCGCCACGGAAAAAGAACCGGACGGCCCAGCGCAAAGTTGCATGCAACACGCGCAGAGAGACCAAAAACAGATAGAGAGAGAGAGAGAGGCGAGAGAGAGAGAGAGAGACGAGCTCACGAGCTCACGAGTAAAACAAACCCATGCAGCAAAAAATCAAAACAGAACGAACCCATGAGTGAGTAGAAAAGACATGCCCCACCCCCCGCTTCCGAGTGTGAGACCCCAATCAGGCAAATGTGGGGCGGCCATTCCCAGCCTGAGTGCAAAGAAATGCGACGCAGCAAGCCTTGATGCACGTCCTGCGTCCCAAGAGGCTCTGAGTCCGCTCTCCCATCTCTGCCTGACTGCCTGGGGGCCCCCAACACTCCGAAGTTCACCCGCTTCTTGGGCGGCCGACGCGTCCAGCGGCGCAAGGACTCGGAGCCCTGCGGGGTGGCCCGATGCGTGGCTTCCGTCCACAACCCCGATCCATATGGGTACGGACTTCATGTTCATGAAGGCCAACCACGGCTCTGGAGGCGTAGGCTCTGTGCCTCTAGTTGGGCTTGCCGCTCCCCTGCTTGTGTCTCGGGGAAGTCGAACGGGAACTCAGGCCTTTGCCAACATTGGCACTGCAACGCATAAACCAGTTCCGTGTCAAGACCACAGCCAGCCATCTGCTCAGTCTGGCCAGGCTGCCACATCACTGGGCATCCCTACAGGCCACTATCTGCCAGAAGCTGATGTCGGTCGTGCACACCCACGGCCCGCGCCCCGGCGAAGTGACTGCGCAGCCTGGGCGATGCAGGGAGGACCCTTCGTTTGCGCCCGCACGCCAGGCATTGGCCGAGGCATAGGCCATAGCTTGCGATGCACACCTGTAGAGCGAAATCAATCCCAAATGGGTGGAATTCCATGTGGCCAAAGGGTGGATGATCAGAGGTTGAACTGCAACAAGCCTGAAGAATCTGAAGAAACCCTGCATATCCATCAGTTGTTGTCCAATACCACTTATATCAACGATGGTAGGACACGCACCCAGACCGGAGAGAGAGAGAGAGAGAGAGAGAGATAGGGAGGCAGAGCGGGGGGAAAGCAATACAGGAGAGGTCGAGCTATGAGACAAACATGATGACCCTATATGACCTTGATCTATGGCCCTCATTTTATGTCAAATCATTTACCGTATATCATTTAGATCAAATCATGTATATATATATATATTGCAGAACTACAATTGAGCTCATTTATATCATTTGGCATCCATTATATAAATCTGATCAAGTAGCTCAGTGCCCCACCTGTGGCTGAGAGCACATCCACCCCAGCTCCCACGTCTGCCATCTTTCCGCCAGGTCTGAAAATCAACATCACCGGCACATAGCCATCCTCAGCAGGTTCGTCTACCCAAATCCGACCTTAGTCGAAGTCAATGCTTCAGCCCACGCAGTAAGGAATCGAGAAACATCATACATGCAGCACAGGTCGACAGTATATTATCTTCACAAAGCTGCGAAAACTGCGAAAACACTGACTCTGCTTCCCCATGGTTCATCTTCAGAACATACCTTGTGTGTCTAATGATTAGTCTAATGAATTCCTCGTTCTCAGGCCATCACTGCTCATGGCAGCTTCCACGGGCCATCGTGCCAACCTGAGAAGGATCCGATCGACTCCACCGGCTGCTTTCAGCGCTCGATCCAAGGTCTCCTCTTGAGAAGAAGGATGCGACCTTCTTTACAATTATGATACCTTTCTCCTAATAGCAATGGCCTCCAACCTACTAGCGATGGCCTCCAACCTACTAGCGATGGCCTCCAACCTACTAGTGATGGCCTCCAACCTTTTTGAACGGCTGTACTATTGCGGTTGGTCTGGTCTTCCTCGCGTTCGTCTCCTTTAAGCGAACACGGCACACCACACTAGTAGGGCACATAGCTTCCCATCTCCTTTGTAAGACCATCTTTGTAATAGTCGTTGTACCACTCAATAAATCTGTTGATTCCATCCTGCAGGGATGTTGTAGGTTTGTAGTCCAGCTCCTCCTCCGCAAGCGACACGTCAGCACTGGTCTTGAGCACGTCACCGGTGGGTGGCATAGGCACATAGTTCTTGATGGCCTTTTTGCCGATGGCCCTCTCAAGACACTCAATCATGTAAGTCACGGTCACTGGATCCTTATTCCCCAAATTGTACACCTGGGCAGCATGCGGGACATCGCTGCGTACTGGAGCATCATATATATATGGTGGTTTGTTTGATATCTATTTATTGGGTGTAATCTCGCCCATTCCAGATTTAGGTGGTGGAGAAAGCTCCAGCTCTAAAGCACCTTCCAACAGCGCAGGACATGTTTTCGGGTGCACCCGAAAGTTGCCTGCTACCTTAGCTGCCTGGAAGGGATGATGCTGAGCCTCGTTTCACTGCTTGGCCACCACTAAGAAGTCACTGGAACTAGAGCCCTCCAAAACAGCGCACATCAGCACAATCCCCAAACAGCAACCACCAAAACCAAACCCCTCCCGCTTTCTCCCTCCCCCGCCGCCTCCCGCCACGAAGCCCCCCGCGCCTCCCGCCCCTCCCGCCCCTCCCGCCTTGTAGTGGGCCGTGGCCTTGCTGGACGCCGGGATCCGATCGACCGAGGCCACGCAGCCGGCGACGATGTCGTCGATGTAGGTGAAGTCGCGCTCCAACTCGGAGCCGCCGGGGCCCTGGAAGATCTTCAAGGCTTCGCCTGACAGCCAAGGCCGGTGTGGCCTCCGCTGATATGGGGTGAGTGTGAGGACCCCTCCCAACAAAATTAGAGGGGAACACCGAAAAAACTGACCGTGCATTGATCTCAATAAGTTTTTTCGCTAAGTATACCATAGGCTCCTAAGGGTTGTGTTATGGTGGTCATGTGCGAACCAACTGCCTCTAGGGTTTTTGTTGAGGGCGGTGGAGCTACCTTTCATGCTTTTCCCTGCTACAACTGCCATGTTGCAACAGTTTGTTTCCACTTACCTGGAGGGAAGAGTGATTGCCACCACCTCAACAAAACAAAACCCAGTCAACGAAACCGCTACGAAACAGTCCCTCCACTTGAGGATCTGCAAATTCGCAAAGAGAACGGCCGAAATCCGCCCCGAAAACGGGAGACGCTCGTTGTGGCTCCACTGCCCCCCGCCTTTGTGGATCTTGATTGTAGCCGAAAAGGCGAACATGTCCGGTCGGCCCCAGGGGCCATAGACGGTGAAAAATCGAAGTCCAGTGAGTGAAAGCCCATAGATGTGGTGATAGGTGTGGGCGATCATTTCATTGGCCTTCTTGGTGGCTGCATAGAGGCTGGCGGGTCTATCCACCTGATGCGCCTCGGAAAAGGGGCTCACTGTGTTCAGCCCATACACTGAGCTCGATGATGCATAAACCACTCGAGGCATTGGATCAGCGAAGCGACACGCTTCGAGGAGCTGCACAAAGCCCGAGACATTGGATGAAACATAGGAAGCTGGATCCTTCGTTGCGTAGCGCACCCCTGCCTGCGCGGCGAGGGCTAGCACATGAGTGACTTTGTACTCCTGCAGGATGTGGTCCAGCATGCTTCGATCATTTAAATCTGCCTGAAAGGTGTAAACACCCTCTTCTTGGAGGGACTGTGCCCGATCATACTTGATGCCCACTGGATAGTATGCATTGAAATTGTCCAGACCAAGCACTCCATCTCCACGCTTTTTGAGAACTTTGGCGCAATGATAGCCTACAAAGCCAGCCGTGCCAGTTACCAAAACCACACGGCCGGTAGTCGACTTGCTTGATTCGGCGGCTGTTGTAGTGAGCTTGCGCTTCTGTGGCCCCTCGGAAGGCATCTGAAATGATGCAGGCTGCAAATGTGGGAGAGACTGCCGTGCAACCTAGGAACCCACGACAATGTGTTGGTCAAAAGGCTCGAGCCACAGGCGCGTATTTCGCATGCGGCGAGTGTTTCGCTCGAGTCACTTCGGTCACACTGGCCGAGAAACACCATGGTTATTCAGTTATTCGGATGGCTCTCAAGCTGAAGCATGGTTGAGGAGGCTGCCAGTCTTTCTTCCCCACCCTGGCGAATCTGGCAATTCTTGCCGCACGCTGACTCCACGACACATCATCTGAAAAGCTGCAAAGTTAAGCTCTGTTCATGGGCTGATGACTTCTTGGGTCCGAACCGTGTGGTGGATCGCGGTTGCTCGCTCATCTTTCCGGTGCCTTGATTCAATCGAACGCACTCGGCCAACTTGGATGAGAAAGTCCATGGGGCCCCAGCTGCTAGAAGTGAGCCTGGACTCCTGACAAGGATGCGTGGGCTGGAATCCATGACGTGTGCGCTGCAAACAACTTCTCTAGATGACGTTCCCATATCATATAACTAATTGTATATATATATATATTCTTTTTTAATATCCATTTTATCAAAAACACAAAATGCGAGCAAAACCTCCAGGCAGGACTGCACCAGTCCTCCACCTCAAGCGTTAGAACGGAGCCCGGCGGAAGTGCCAAACGCTGGCCACGAGCAGCGACCACGATCTGCCCAGGAGCGCAGGTTTGTCTAGGCTCTTGGAGGTGGTGAGATCTCAAATCCCATCGCTTATTTGTAGCTGTGCCAGCTATGCCTATGTCATGATCAAGAGTGAGAAAGTCTCTGTGAAGGGCCAGCCGGGTTCAGGCCACAACCAGGGTGACTCCCGTCCTCTTGCCACAAGGTGGCTGCAGGGGAGCTTCGGCAAGCCTGCCCCGTGAGTGAAGCTGACAGGCTTCACCAAGGACACAAGAACACAAAAAATATAAACATAAAATGAGATGAGATGCGCTGGGCTGGGCTGAGCTGAGCTGAGGTGAGCTGAGGTGAGGTGAGTTGAGCTGAGGTGAGATGAGGTGAGATGAGATGAGATGAGGGAGTCGTGTGGGCACACAAACGCAAAACATGTGTAAACCCCTGAGCACCTCTGGCGGCAACGCCCGGCCCAAGACCTGAGTTACTGACTCACATGAGTTTGTTTTCGACCAGGTCGTCGGTTGTGGAACATTAGTCGCCTCCAAGGCCTTTGGGCCAATCAGCTCGAAATAGCATGGCGTTGCTTGCTGGGAGACTTGCAGAAACCTGGCCATGACAAGTTTTACAGTGTTTCACCCTTTTTGTGAGCCAATGATTTCTCTGGCACGTAGCAAAGTATGCTCAGTTAGAGGCTGGAGGTGCCAGTGCAAATTGTCACGACAAGTTAACAAGTTGGCGAGAAAGTCGAACAACGCAAACATGGAGAGCTACTCAGACTCATTGCGACCCCTGGTTTGCTCCGCCGCCTGTCTTAGAATTAACACTTGAATGAATGAGATTGAAATCGCATTTGAACGATCATTTTTCGCATCATGTCAACAAAGAGTATGAGGCTCTGGCCCAGTTCAAGCTGGCCACCGCCTGTCGTACTTGAAGCTGGAAACGAAATCAAAACTGAATGCACCACCGGTCTGCGCATGTTAATGTTCGGTCCCAAAAAATACAAATACACAGGCCTCTGGCAATGCTGCTGGGTGAAACCACAACCAAAGTTTCATCCCTGTCCGGAGTGGAGCTGCGTCAACGCATTCGCCAGATATCATCTCCACATCATCTGTTTTGGTGTCCGGCAGTCTGGATGCCAATTCTCCTGTGTCCATGTTTTCACCTCGAACATCTACAACGAAGGGGAGTTCCTCCAACTCATCGTGCTTGGCCAAGTCTTTGGCTTGGCAACGCTGAACCACAGCCCCGGGGCTCCACAGGAAGCAGGTTGGACCAATCAAACGTCTCTCAGCATCACACGCCTTCATCAGGCAACGCATTCTTCGGGAACCAGCTCTAACCTCTCTTGCTAGCAGCAACTTCCGATCAAGTCCACATTGGTCCAACACGTCAACCAGCAGCGACTCTGGCCCAAACAATTCCACGAGCTGAACATAGCTCCGGTCATGCGCACAGCAGTGCTGTGACATGGCACGGTACAAGGCGCGGGTACCCAAAGCGCAATTCTTTGAAGCCAAACGGTGGCCCCAAAGGTTTTCCATGTGGGCACGCTTTGCATGCCACACGTGCGTCTCCAAGTATCTTGGCATTGTGCTTGCCACAGGTGGTGCCGCCCACGCATGCGCCCGCAGCAGCAAAGCAGGTCTTCTCCAATGCTTCCTCACCCGCACTTTCGGGGCGTCACCAGGTCCTTTTTGTTCCGCTGCCATTCTTGTGGCAACCGGTATCTTATCAAAATCCTCATCAGATGTGTATCGTGGGAGTGTTCGCTGCTTCACTTTGCGGGTTCTTGCTTTGGAAACCCGACAGCGGACCAACCCAAAAGGCCTCCAGCTCCGTGCCCGTCGGCGCAAATGTCGTTCCTGGGAGGCCTCTTCCAGAGTGTCGACCAATCTCTGCGCATCTCCCGCTCGTTCAGCCACGAACTGCTCCACAGCCAGAACGGAGGATGGAACAGCACCCGTAAGCCCGCCGTGGGACAACGATGTGAAGCGGTGGCTAGAAGAGCTCACCGCCGCCATGCGAAAAGATTGTGTGCTTTGATTTGATGTCATCCGTTGGTTTTTCTCATGGTCTTGCCAGAGGGCCCTCATTTCATCGTTTATTTATCGTGGTGACAGTGGTATGACGTGATCCAAACTCATGAAAAACACAAAAATCAACGTCTGCCTTTGGATTCTCTATAGCCTTGGAGGCGGCACATGCAGTATTGAGGGCGCTCAGTTGCCACAAGAATATATAGTTTTTCCATCGAAAACGAAGCCCTTACAGGACCCCGGAAACAAAGCCTTTACAGGAACCCAAACATCAGCGTGGCAATACGAGCGTGACAAAACGTTGTGGGGGAGGGCAGCGAAACCCAACTAACAAGAAATAAAATAATTCAATACTTCAAGTGATACCGGCTTGGGCCCAAAACAGTTTAGGTTCGTTTGGATCAGTGTCACTCAAAAACCATTTCTTGGTATGCCCAGGTTACCCCAAGAGCAAACGGTTTCATCAATGGTTTTTGTCGGCATCGACATCGCCAGCTTGTTCGGCCACACTCCTCTCCAGCTGTTGACAACAATAAATTCAGGAAAACTGACAGTGTCAAATGAGTCCCACGGGCACATTATCGGGCGACCCATCTATCAACAGTATGAGACGGGCCCCTACGCGAACCCGCTTCTTTCGTGGGCGTCCATTTGGACGTCACTTAACATTCCAAACATTTGGTCACAGAGTTCCGGGAATGTGGCCAGGGCTGATCAGCGCGGCCAGGGCACAACAGCAGGATAACAGAAGGACAACAGGGGGATAACAGCAGGACAACAGAAAACAAGAGACGCACAAGACCCGGCCACGGAATTTTTCATCGCGCTATTTTTCCATCGCGCAGTACGATCCTGCAGCACAATCCACCCAATTTTTTTGGCGCCTAGCCGCCTAGCCGTTTGGTAGGCAACATGACATTCTACTACAAACGTATGTTTGGACACAGCGGCCTTCTGCGCAGCGTGGCTGGAAGAAATATGTGGCCGTACACCCCATGCATCCGACCCCATCCGCTCAAAGGGTAGCACGGTAGCTGGGCGGCTGTGCTTCGGATGGCTGGACCCGTTGTTTCCAGTGAGTGCAATTGGTACTTTTTTCTCCTCGGCCACACCGTCGAGCGAAATGTGAGACGGCAGGTGCCTATGTACAAAGGAGCTACCCTTGGACATCTTTTGCCGAAGATTGCGTGCAAAACAGTTTGGCAGCCAAGGCAAAACAGTTTGGCAGCCAAGGCATGTTTTTTTCCAATCCCCTTCTTCGAAGCAGCTCCAACCGAGTCAGGGTGCCGATTCACGAGCGCGGCCCAAAGCGGCTCGGGTGCGAGGAGGCCGCACCAACGCCTCCCCCCAGGCCGCCGAAACGGAGGGTCGGGAAGGCGCTGGGTGGGAGCGCGCCTTGGCCTGCACCAGGAGGCGAAACGAAGGTGGCAGCCTCAGAGGCGTCCCCCGACCTCAAGGCCAACGACAACGAGCCGGCAGCGGTTGGCGCGGGTGAGCACGGGATAGGTGCGCTCCTCGGCCCGGCGGGCAGCGGCAAGGGCGGTTCCTGGGCGGCCGCGGGGGCGCGAGACCAAGGTAGTGTCGACGGCAAGTTGCGCACCACCCCAGAGATCGCCGTTTTATTTTCTTGCGCTGGCGCACAGATATTAAATTTTAGGAGGGCAAGGGGCTTTCCCCAGCCAAGAATGTTTCGCCTTTGGAAACATACGGAAATCACAATGTTTTTCCCGTTCATCTGGGATGACGTACGGCTCATCCACCCATGAGAGTGATGCAAACAAAGCAAGCGATGTTTTGATACCAACACTGCATTCCTTCGTGCCCACTGCCGAAGCCCAACAGCATCCAAACAAACAGGCAATACATGCTATCATGTCTCCTGAGCCGGCCTGGGCCGCCCACGCGCATGCCCACCAGCGCAACAACCACCTCGGATGCCAACCAGCCAGCGACCTAGCTGAAACTCAACAAGCTGGAAGTTCATCCCAGGCCAGGTGCCAGCGCACCGTCGCAGCATCAAAAACCAAGAGTACCTGCAGCAACTCCACTTGCAGGCTTTCTGGTCTTGGCAGCTATACTGCGCCAGCCCCCGTGCTCGGGAGCCATTGCCCGTTGCCACAAGAGCCATTCTTGGCAGGGCCATCACACACACACACTCACACTAGCACGGTACTGTTGGGAGAAAGGCCGCACTAGAACATAACCTGCACTAAAGCACAATGAGTTCCACCATCGTCCTGCAGTGGGCCTACCCGCACATCTTGGAAGCCATTGTCTCAATTGGCCAAGAACGATTTCCTGGTACGCCGTAGTATCGCCCCGAAAAGCAAACTGTTTCATCAATCAACAATCGCTATTTGTTCGGCCACATGCTGACCATGTTCAATGCGCCTCATGGGCACAGGCACATTATCGGGCACCCCATCTATCAACAGTATGAGCCGGCCTCTACGTGAACCCCCTTCTTCCGTGGGCGTCAAACCAATTGGACATCAGTCAGCATTCTAAAAAACACTTGGCCACACCAGTCAGTGTGGCGGGGGCTGATCACGCCAAAGGACAACAGCAGGATAACAGAAGGACAACAGCTGGACAAAAAAGAAACGAGAGGAGAACAAGGCCCGGCCACCCAGCCCGGCCACCCAAGGCTGGTCAGAGCGGCCAACAGCAGGACAACAGCAAAGCAAAAAGAGGACAAAACCCGGCCACAGAGCCCGGCCACAGAGTTCAATCAGTGCGGCCCGGCTTTCACCCCATCTCAATGAGCATTTCCCAGGCCGCCGGGGTGCTATTGCGCCGGTTGAAATGCCATTGCTTTGCGACGCCTGGTTTCCAATCTGGTCATTTTGTCCCGCCAACTGCCATGTTGCAAACAGTTTCAGAGAGCGAGCAAATGACGTACATTTTGATTTTTGGTTTTGCAGTCTCTTGCAGCCACTTGCAGCCACTTGCAGCCACTTGCTCAGACAGCCACTTGCAGCCACTTGTCCCTCAAGCCAGTAAGTTTCAATACTGTCAATACTGTACTTTGAGATCTTTATGTAAAAACTGTAAGATTTCTTCGTCGCTAGCTCTGCAGAAGGTTAGAATTTTATTTTCGGAAAAGTCTTGGATCTTTTTTCTCTCGCGCCTTTTTCTGCGGGAGTTCGGTCGGTTGGCGGCTTTGACAGTTTCTATACTGGCCTGTCCCCAGATGTGCGAAGTCCAAAATCCAAAGTCCCAGGAGGCGGGGGCCAGTGGCTCGGGAGGCTTGAATGTTCGCAGAACAGCATTGCACAAATCTTGGTTTTCTTCGAACTGCATGCGGAGAAATCATGATATTCTCCGGACAGACGTAGCATTCACTAGGAGGTGTCAAACTAAATAGGCGGTGTGGCACAGCGATCGACACGTTTTAATTTCAATTCTTATGCCACTGGCCTGCTTGTGAAAACCCTGAAAGCTTACAGAACTTAGCCCAGCCAAATCGACATCAAATTCATCACGGGTTCGTTGTTTCAGTTGTGGACCCCAAAAAAGAACGAAAAGGTAGAGAGCCTACCATATATGAGAACTGTGTAACAACTGTGGTTTGTAGAAGCTGCCTGGTGCCGAAGCTGTGCTGCACAAATGCGTATGTCGCACGCACGCTCCGTATAAGGGTGGTTCGGGATTGCTACAACAAAATTGCGTGGCGTGGGGCGCTTGGAGGTTTGTCAACACTGGTGTATGTAAGAACTGCGGTGTGAAAGAATTGCCTGGTGCCACACTGTGGTCGTGTGTCACTCGCGCGCTCTGCACAAGAGTGGCGGTTGCAAGGAAAGGTTGCTAGAGCATAAATGGTGTGTGAAAGCTGGTTTGCGTAAAGATTGCGGCGTGTAAACGCTGGCGACGCACTGCGTCGAAAACTTCATTGTAAGGGCGCCAGTGAATGGACGTCACGCTATGGCAGGTGCTGCGAAGAGGGGGTTCACGAAAAGGAGGGGGTCAACAAAAATAGTAATTGTTTTAAAATCACAGGTTCCAGCTCAAGGTGGCTCTTGCCAAGCCACCTCTCATGATTTCTCCAGGAAGCTATCTGTCAAGGTATTTGCGGGCACCCTTCCCAAAGAGAGGGAACTTGGAAAGCCGCACCTTCAGTGTAACTTCATTAAACCAACTGAATGATTCATGGGAAATTTTTGTTGGTGGATGTGTTGATTTGCGCAAACTCCCTGAAGTTCATCGTGGGGAATTGCCAACATGAATACCAAACCCCGCCACAAAGTTCATACATTCTTCAACCCAAACTTTCCCCCGCATCCAAACCGCACACAACGCAGTGGCTCCAACCACCAAGTTGGCCAAACCTGAGGTGGGACACCTAGCGTTCCCGGAGTTGGCGCACGACCTGCTGAGGATTGCAAAGCTAAGCCACCACCACCACAAACAGCCTTGCACCAAGATTTGCCACCCAGCCAGCCAAACCCAGGGCAGAGGGGGCAAGTCGAGAAGAACGAATGACAACCTATGAAGGACAATCGGAGCGAAATGATTGCAAATGGGTTCCCGCGGCGCTGATGGACACCCTCCAATGTCACTGCTGGCCAGCACCAGCCAACCCAGAAAACGCGGGGGTCAGCTTGTTAACACCACCCTCCAAGATGCTTGCAGCAAGGAGCGCACCTACCAACGAGTTGTTGCGGAAAAAAATCGCAAAAAAGAAAACACCCCGGAACACGTGGCCTCACCACAGCAGCTAGGCCTGTGTTGGCTTCACCGGGTGGCAGCAAGGGCTCAACAAACAAGAGGCGCAACTTTGTGTCGGGAAAACACATGGTCATTCGTAGCCGCCTGCGCATGTTTGCATTTATGAATGGCACGCGGGAAATGCAGAAAACCAATGAGCACACCAAGGACCATGCATGTCCAATATGGTCCATGGTTGTGTTGGCATCATGTCTGTTGGGTTGCAGCGGTTTCTGGCTTGGAGTTTCGACACATTGGGCAAGCAAGGCACACAAAAAAAACGTTGGAGGAGCGTTGGTTGACGGGATGTATG